TGTTTATGTTTATGTTTATGTTTATGTTTATGTTTATGTTTATGTTTATGTTTATGTTTATGTTTATGTTTATGTTTATGTTTATGTTTATGTTTATGTTTATGTTTATGTTTATGTTTATGTTTATGTTTATGTTTATGTTGTAGTTGTTAATATCATAATTGCGAGATGTATATCTTGGCTCGAAAGTGCAAAGAAAATTGTTGACATCGGTGAAGTCCTGCTCTGGATTTAAAAAGAAGCATCAAATCGGCAATTTCTCTGCGAAATTCAAGGGGAAGAAAATTGGTTCTGGCAAGTCTCTCGGTATATTTCACATCCAGAGGATTGTTCAGTATAAATTTAGTGGCCCGCCTCTGGACGTTTTCAATTAAGGAACGATACTTAAGTATACGGTGACCACAAACTACTAACGTACTCAAGTTTAGGCCGTACAAGAGCACAGCACAACAATTTCTGACTTTTAGATCAGGGGGTTCTTACACACACTTTTAACCAAACCGAGCGTTTTATTAGCCTTGGCCACAATACTTGCAATATGATTTGACCACGGCAAATCATTTGACACAGTGACACCAATATCCGTAATGAAAGGAACACAATCCAACAACTGATTATCCATGGTGAACGCTGATTCTCTTCTCGATATCTTCTTCCTGGAGATGTTGATTACCGATGTTGATTAGACTTATTAAATGCCATTCCCCAGTCCAAACTTGAAGATTGTAACTGGAGTTGAATCGAGAATGGGTTGGAACAGCTTGGAATCGTCAGCAAACAAAGCAATTGTTGATTCGCACTGAATGTAGTTATGGACATCATTGACGTATAAAACAAACAACAATGGACCGAGTATAGAACCCTGTGGTACACCAGACATGACAGGAAGGCAGTCAGAGAATGTTCTGTCGAGAGCAGCTTTTTGGCGCCTATCTGTGAGGTAAACTACCAAACCAAGACAAAAGAGATCCGTTGATACCATGATGCTTTAGTTTGAGTAATAACGAGTTGTGAGGGACTTTATCAAAGGTATTTGATAAGCCAAGATGGCGGATTACATCAACTTCGTTACTGGATGCTACGGAGTCCAGGATGTCATGGTATACTTCTAATAGCTGTGTTGTCGTCGATTTACCCTTGAGAAATCCATGTTGAAATCGATAGAAAGGAGGGGAGATGTAGTGATAACAGTGATTAAAAACGCAACATTCCTAGACTTTGGAGATAACAGAAAGCAGAGAGATCGGTCTGTAGTTCGACGTTATGGTGGGATCATATTTTTTAAAAGAGGGATAATATTGACAAACCTTCAGTTTGCAGGTACAACTCGAAGAGAGAGAGAGACATATTGAAAAGAATTCGTATACAAAGTGAAGGAGCAATCTCGTCGGCGACCTTGGACAGGATTCTACTCGGAATACCACCTGGTCCACGTACTTTATTGGAGACTAAATTAAGAAGCACTGCAGCAACTTCAGAGATTGTAAGATCGATATCAGAGAGTTTGTTACAGGAAGATTCCGCTGAAGTAGAGAGCGTTAAAGGTGGATCTACATTGCCTAAACTAAAAATGGAGTGGAAAAATTTGTTGAATAAGTTTGCCAAAATGCGGCTGTCAGTCGTAAAAGATTGTCCATTTCGAATAAAATTTTGGCTCCCATTTGTTTTGGTCGAAGATGAAGAAATGACCAGAAACGTTTGGGATTTTCAAACATTGACCCTTTTAGCTTATTGGCGTGATCACATTTTTTCTTGGAAACAAACTTTTTGGTTTCGCAGTGGATTAACCTAAATTTCTCTAAGTCATTAGCAGTGTTTTGTCCTTATCTGCTTTTTTCATTACTTCTTTTTCTTTTTAATGAGCTCCAGCAACTCTTTATCGACCCAAGGGATCGACAGACGTTTCTTGAGGAACATTTAGGGATGTGATCATAAACGATTGAGAGAAACTGGTCACACCATTTTGAAAGGGAAGCATCAATGTCCTCAGGAACAAAGCAAGTATCAAAGGGGGTATTTATTAACACATCCTTGAGACCAGTCCAATTGGCTTTTTTGAAGTTGAAAACCACACGCTTGACTTTAGGTTTTTTGTTGAATTTAAGGTCGAGTTCGAAACTAATAAGTTCATGATCTGTATTCAGAATGTCTTCAAAACCTTGAATATTTATGACTTTATCTGGTAAATTGGTAAAAACTAGATCCAGGATGTTATCAGATCTAATTGGAAAGTCAATGAGCTAATATAAGTGGTTGTCTTTAATAGTTTTAGTGAAATTATAGTTATGAATACAGCCGGTGTTAGTAGCTGTACCAGTAGACCAATCAATATGTGGAAGGTTGAAGTCTCCGCAAACGATTAAGTGTTCAAACTTTGCTTTGATGGCAAGGTGAAGTGATTTCTTAAGTTCTTTTATGTAGTTTATGTCGGTGTTAGGCGGTCGGTGGAACGTAAAAATCAAAAGCTTTTTCTTAGATTCAAAACGGATTTCGCAAGCTACAATTTCCGCATTTCGCTCTCAAGATCTTTCCTTCGGATGCTAAGCATGGTGTTTCTGACAGCTAACATTACTCCACCCCGCTCCTGTCAACTCTGTCTTGACGGTGAATAGTAAAGTCGTTTCCGGGTAAAAGTTTACAGTTTAAAATGTCGGGCTTATGCCAGGTCTCCGTTACAGCGATTATGTCAATGTTAGGTGCTAACGTTTGAAGTTCGTTGGTCTTATTGGATAAACTTCTGGCGTTAAAGTATAAACATCCGATGTTATATCTTCTTGAATTTTGATCGTTACCAGCATTGAGATCATAGGTAATGGTCGGACCTGGATTACATATGCAATATATATATCCATGTAATATCAATGTAACAATCTGGCGAACTGCGACAAATGTATAGCCGTGTTTAAGCCAAGTCGAGATTTTGGGAGAATTGATTTAACCTGTTTGTTTCTTTTTTACTATCCTGAGTGAAAAAAGGATGTGCATCAAAACAGGGGTATTTTGGACTTGTTTAATGAATTTTTGATGATGGAGACTCGTTGGAATTGTAAACGCCAGAGTACTCATCGTATCAGTCAAATTGAAGAGTAAAAGTTATGGCGTGATCTTTTATACGAGTGGATCTTATATCTGAAACAGTTGACATTGACCGCCCGCCCCCCTCCAGCTCTTGTTCTGGCCCCTCCAGTGAAATATGTTGTCCCCCACCCAGTAACGGTTTCTTCTAGCAGATAAAATATACAAAAAATTGTTTCTAAAAATGCCGAAAATGAAGCCCCCAGATACAGAGTAATGTTATCTAAAAAATTTTCACAGAAAAAGTGGTGATACTTTCGTTCCATCGACCCTCGTGTAACGGAATAAGTTTCTAGCTACACGCCTACACATATCTCATTATTTATCAGACTAACTTAAATACGGGTCACTAATTACGAATAAAGCAACTTACTTTTATCATAGCAAATAAGGTAGGAGCATAACATGTAGCCAGAAAACAGAAGACTGATGCAGTGAAGCAAGTCACAGTGAGAATAATATACCCAGCAAGTAACACAATGGTGATTGAACGAAGTGCGTCAACGTTATTGCAGCTCGTGTTCCCTGGAGGAAAGTAAAATGCTTTTCAAACTGTGTAAAGACTGGGTCACGCGCTATAAAAGTTTCTGTGATCACAGTAAATGAATTTTGCGTAGATAAATTATAAGTCTTGAAGGATTTGTAAGAAATATTCGAGAGATCTGTCCCGGTGTTAAACACCGAGTCAGTTCCCTCAAACATTTTTTTACAAAATCTTCAAAACGTAGAATTTACCTATATGAAAAATTCCTACTGCGATCATTGAAACTTTGATATTGTAAACCAACCTCAAAAAATTTGTGCAAGAGCAGAATGGACTTAATTAACGGTCACTTTAGTTTATATCATAAACAGCGAGACATGAAGCTATAACTCAACTCAGTTCTGGAAATAAGGATGATTAGTGTTACATTATTTACAAATTAAAAATAACGCAGAAGATGATCTCTAAAGGTCCATTTCCACACTCAAGAAAAATTTCCACGGACAGAAAATTTTCCAAAAACATCATTGTTTAAAGTTGACATTTTTCAACTTCAAATTTTTTTTCCGACGGAAACTTTGTGTCGCCCAATCACATTTTACAAAATTTTCTTTTGGCGGAAGACTTTCCTGAGTGGAAATGGGCCTTAAAGCCTGGTTCGCCCGATTGAGATAAGCATATCAGTAAGTGGGAATACAAAAGAAGATTTCACGTTAGTGACTGAATGTAGCGATTTAGTGCTAAGAATACTAGAAATACATGCAGGCAGCTCCCCTTTCCAAACATTGATTTTCAACATGAAGCATTTGCAATTGGCGAACACTTAACGCAGGCTCGCGTTGTGACTTCATGTGTTCCCATCATCCCATGACATCACGATTTTTTTTATTTTTTAATTTTTAATACTTTTATACAAAATTTTGCATTTTGTGAACTTTGATTTAATGTTAAATTTTATCTGAAAGATTTCGGAAATGATCATTCAGTTTTGCCGATAAACTGTTTTTATTTCATCAAACTTCTGGGTAATTTCAGGGACAATAAGTTTGTTTCTAAATTTCAAGTAGTTCCATCATTCATCCAAGCCTGAAAATTTAATACAATAAGTAAATTTATTTTCTTCACTTATAAAAATTAGTCCCTATATAGATTTGGGTACCTCTGACTTACATATTACAGTGTCGTTGTTATCACCGACATCGCAGTCGCAGTCATCTCCGATATCTTGGCAAAAATGGTGGTAATCAAAAACATTCATTGCAAAAGTAAATGAAATAAAAAAGATCGAAGCAACAGTCGAACCAATCACTGCAATGATGTTGAGAAAGAAAGCGAAACCCATCTAGAAAATAATAGAAAACATTCACAATCGTTATAATGTACAGTACATTTTATTGGAATTAGTGGGTACATTTGATTGGCATTATAGTGGGTAAGTTTAATTGGAATTGGGCCGGCAGATCCTAATGGTCAACACAGGAGCGACGGAACAGGGGGCTATAGGGGGGACTATGGCTCCTTCCAAAAAAAAGATCAGAGTACGACAGCTGTAATATGAAGATTCTTGATGGCTGCCTAAAAGGGGAAGTGAACAAAATTATTTTATTATTTTTTTTTTTTTTAATTTTTTTTTAAAATTTTCCCCATGTACAATAAATTTATGTGTAGTATATTTACAATAATTGTAGAGTGCGGGCTAGAGACCTACTAGAAATCTTAGTAGACTTTTTATTTAGGTCTCTAGTTATGCTAGTTTGTATTGTGCTATGTAATAAATTATTTACAGTCAATCACAATATTAAAGGAATATATATATATATATATATATATATATATATATATATATATATATATATATATATATATATATATATATATATATATATATATATATATATATATATATATATATATATACAGGGTGTATCAAAAAAGCGCAATCCTCGACTGAAATGTAAATTGCTAAACAAATAATAGACGAAAACGTTAAAGTTTACATTCATTTTAAAGCGTAGCCATTCAGCTTTCTAACAGTGGGTTGTTTCTTAAATTTGACTCATTGGTTCGCGGCTAATAATACTTTACGTTATTGCGATTGGAGATTAAAAAAATTGAGATGGAATAACAAAATCGTTCTCATGAAAATAACTGATTTTTTCATTAAAACAAAAAAAAATGTTGCATTTTATTAAATGGATTGTAACAATAAGTATAATTACGGCTTTTCTTCCACTATTTTTAACTCAGTTTGAAACTTCAAATGCGATATAATTTTGGCTTGGACCATCTAAACTGACTGACATCAACTTGCTATAATTTCTGTTTACATTACATCGCAATTCGATGACACTCTGGCTCAGACACCAGAATGTTTTGACGATTTTTAGCATTCGTTCAGGATTTTCAAACAACCTGGTCTCTTTTAAAATACTTTTAATTTGTTCTTACGTGGTTTTCCAGATGTAGTCAAGTGACGACAACATTAAAGTTTAAAGAAGAAAATTCTAACATTTAAACTGACTAAACAATAACATAGTAAACTTGCATAATTAAACAGCAACTAAAAATGATAGGTTTTACTAAATCTTTTCCTGTGCAATTATTACTAGCATTGGAGACAAGGATAATAGTTTGTTTGAAAGAAAAAAGAACAGGCTTATATATATATATATATATATATATATATATATATATATATATATATATATATATATATATATATATATATATATATATATATATTTACAATAGAGAAAAAGAAGGGAAATTGTTCTTATTATAGAAGTGAATACCAATGTTGTAGATGCATTTGGGTTCTTATAAGAATTAGACCACAACATACTATTAATTTTGTCATATAGCAGAATGTTTTATAGCATGTCTTATACATTGTATAGTAAAAAATGTTGTTTAATTTGCTTTTTGAAAGTGCTATAGAAATTTATATCTATAAATTTTGTTTCTAATGAATTCCATACGTCAACTCCTTTATTTGAGAGAGTGTGTTCTACATAATTTGTTCTTTTATAACATTTGTGGTCAGTGAAATATTCCTTAAGTGAAAATTGAAACTGTAGGGGAACTTCAGCAGCCGTCATAGCACTCCCTGAAAATATATTAAGTTATATATGTTTGTCTTGGTTGAAAAGCGTGAACTTTTTCATCGCCAAGTAGTTCGACTATGCTAACTTGACATACAAAACCAATTATAAAGCAATTTCTAGCAGAATTTTTATGGTTCCAATTCTTCAATTCCGTGCCAGAAAGTGTTGGAAATGGCATTTCCGAGCCCCAATTTTTAAAATTTCCCCGGGGGAGCATGGCCCCTAGTTTTCAGCTCTCCTAACTTTGGATATCTTCTTACGCTATACTACTGCCATGCAGTTCAATAATTGTATTGCCTGTCGTGTTTGCACTTAGCTGAAAAGTACGGTACCGAATCTAGCTGAATATTTCGTATTTTGACAGTAATTTAAAGAATACCACTATGGTTTTATGAACTGATATCTTGTTTAGCCGCTGTTAGAAAAAACTTGTCTAGCTGTTAAAAAAAACTGAAATTAGCTGGCAAATGGTATTAAAACTGTTTACGACCTTCATAGCTGTTGGACGTCAATTTCCACCATCTTGGCTTAACTTTTCTCATACGCCGAATGACTGAAGTTCTTGCTACAGATATATGCAGGGCTCACTGCATGGTACATAGATATTTTAAAATTGAACCAGTCCTATATATATATTTATCCCCAAGCCACGCGCGTACGGTGAAGCCCGTGGCGAGGGTACTAATTCCGTTCAGCTTTTTACTCCCGAAGAAAAGAAAGCATTTGCAAAGTCTAAAGTTTATCAATAATTGCGGGCGCATGGCTATGTATGGGTGGTCAAAATATAGCTGTTTGCCAGGAGTGAAGGAAGCAAAGAAAGCTTGGAAGTCTTTTCACAGTTCACACAATAAGTTGTAAATCACCTTCTTCAAATTTTAAAGAAACGATAAGTAACTATTGGAAATACTGAAGTATAGGGTAAGTTTGTTTTTACTGTTTACCTATGACTTTGCTGTCCATTTTTCGCCTGAAGGCCTCGAACATCTACATGCAGCTTTCCTTTCCTTTGTATGTGAACGTTGCCATTTGAATTAACTTATTATTTTCATGAGCGACGTGTATAAATGTATTTCATTTCAAAGTTCGAGTATTAATAAGTTAAAGCGTTATTGGTTAAATTGAAATTTCAAAGTGAACCTTTAAAATCGTTTTAGGAAGCAATATTAGGCCCTATATAAAATAACCTACTTACTTTATATATTTTAGAAATAAGTAGATCTATAGGTAAATTGGTAAAAGGTTAAACGTGTAAAACATTAATAATTTTTATTTTTTCCGTTTTATACAAAACATTTTTTGAAATAATGATCGTATTGGTTGCCATAACTAACATGACGCGAGCAACGCGAGCCTGCGTTCAGTGTTGACGTAATTAAGAATACTTCATAAAACCGTGTTTGGAAAATGTGGACGCGTGGGTGTTGCATGCGTATTTGTCTAGTTATATTAATAATATGGTATCCCTCACCATAATAGAATTTTTCTTTGCTCCTGCAACAATAGTGAGAAATCCTGTCACAGTGAACTAGAAAAAAAAGAAACCATGATGCAATTATAGCGAACGGGAGTGGAGTTCAGTCTCATTTTCTTACCAATATATTGTGTGTATCCCAAGGGTTTTGTAGATGGAAACTGCGAGTGTGAATTTTATAAACATGCACGAGTGAGTTTTGGATAAACATTTGGATAAACATGCACGAGTAAGTTTTTCAAAGAGCATATTTTATCCAAATTTTACGAGAAACCAACCTATTACGTATTAAAAATATACATAAAAATGTTCGAGAAAATTTCACTCAACTATGACGTCTATCTAAGTTTTGTTGGTCTTATTATTAAGGTAAAATCTTTCCCATTTAAAGGAAAGATAAAAGCCATAATTTCAACCCGAACTAATATCTAATGTTACTTATGTAGCGCGTCCGCCATGTTTGTTTTGTTTTGAAACAATCTCTGACCTTTACTTGAAAACTGCTTTAAGCTGATTGGTCGATTTTAGATTTCATTGTCTTTTCACCAATCAGATCAGTTTGTTACAGACTTTTGCAGTGTTGTTACATATTTTTGCACTGTTGGTATATAATACTGCTGTTTGAGATTAACTGCACTTAAATCAACCAATCACAGCTTAGCCTAGTGGAGTAATGATGTTTGTGATGTTACTCTGAGTATGCATCCACACCGGGCAAGCTGAAAAGTTTGCCTGGCCACGGTGGATTGGACTAGTATCCCAAAGCTCGCGGGTTCGATTCCCACCGTGACCAAGCAAACTTTTCAGCTTGCCCGGTGTGGATGCATACTCAGAGTAACATCACAAACATCATTGTTATATAGTTAGTGTCAAAGTTCAATTTTTCTGTTTGCCGATTGGTCAAAACCGTGTCACGTGCCGGTCCACAAAACGTCATATTCAGCAACCGGTCCGCAATGAAACATTTATTGACCGGACAATAATAAAATGGGTGCAATACGCATGCGTGTAAACCATGAAGTTCCAAAGTTCATTTTTAAAGACTTTTTACTAAACATTTACGACGTTCCATTTATCCAGTTTTGGTTTCAAATTAAGTTCACTCCAACAACCGGTGAATTATTCATACTTTGATATTTATATACTATATAACAAAACACTTATTTACTGAGACCTCGGAAAAGCAGTGTGTTTTGTGGCCCCTCGACCGCCGTTGTTGTCCTCGGCTTCGCCTCGGGCAACAACGGCGGTCTCGGGTCCACAAAACACACTGTTTCCCTCGGTCTCAGTAAATAAGTGATAATTATTCACCTGAGTACATAACAACAACACACACACAAAAATCATATCATAGTGGAGTAATGTTTTTATGTATATTATTAATATATTTATTAGACCTAACCAGGCCCAACCAGGAGACTTAACCAGGGCCTCTGGCGTCCCATCTGGCGTTCTGGATGTCCGGAGCTGCGTAACTAATCAAATGCATGAAAAGCACTATCCACCTCCCGAGTATATGCCAATTACAATTATTCCTTCGCCAAATAGCTTTTGTAATGACTTTTACGATGTATATTGTAAATAGTTAATGATTTTCGTTTAATTTAAAACTCTGTAAGCTACGCAATTCAGGCTGCGATATAGTCTTTCTTTAATAATAAACCATAAACCTATAAATGTAGTAACTGTCATTCACTATAATTATTATGAAACTATGCGTGGGAAAATGCCATCATGAGCTCCACCTTTGAATTTACTATATGAGTAAATTCTTAAACACGTCCGAATTTATCATTATAAATATTTTAAATTTTGAATTTATCATAATAATAAATTCGCGGCACCTAACACTAACCCTAACCCCAACCCCAACCCTAACCCTAACCCTAACCACTAACCCCTAACCCCTAACCCCTAACCACTAACCACTAACCACTAACCCTCATTTTTTAACTTTTTAAATTTTTTTAACTTTTTTAAAAATCTAACTTTTTAAACTTTTCTTGCTTTTCAAAACTCTTTTAAATCTTTTTAAAACTTTTTTAAAAACATGAAAAACATGGTCCCGATGGCGCGTGTGACGTGCATGTGCATGCTACCATACCAGCAGATGATCGTTGTATAGTCTTTAAAAATAGTTACTCTTCATGAGTTATGAATATGACTTTATTATTTGGCAGATTTTTGTTTGCTCTCTGTAAAATACAGCAAACATAGTTTCAAATAAAGAAATAATTTACTATTAATTTATTTTATTTATTCAGTCAGTAGTCATTAATAAATAGTCAACAGATTATGGTCACAATGTCACGTGCATGTTATTAAGTTGATATAATATAGTTTCGATTCATTCCGCTCTTGATATTAATATCATAGGTCTTAGCTTGCTTTTACTGTTTTTATTAGGTTGAGAAAACTTTTACATATATTTCATGTTTATCTGTGAGAATCTGTCATCTGTGTCTGTAATATATTAAACTTGAGTCAGATACTTAACATGCAGCTGTTCTACAAACTTATATTTAAATTAATTTAATTATTTCATAGAATAATGCACGAGTTATTCGAAACTATTTTCGCAGTATACAAATGAACAACAATTGTCCAGAGGCAGTGTCCACAGTCCAGTATAATATACAACATTATCTGTACAGTCTGTACGGTCTCGCTATTCAGCTTACATAATAAATTTGTTCAATAAATACCTCATTTCATCTCATAACTCATAAAGACGCGATGTAAACGATGTTTATAGTTAACTGTTTTTGCAGAAAAAGAGATCGAAAAATCGTTTATTTCACATTTGGTAAGTTTTACGATCGATTACGACGATCAGCGGATAGTGTGCAAGTAGGCGTATTTCGTTTAGGAGAAACCTAAAGTGATGATATACGATACGAACATTTTACCGAGATTTCCGGGGCCCTCTGAGCACTCCGGGCCCCGGGTGTTTTGCCCTCCTCCCTCTGTCCCCCCCCCCCTTGCATTTTTGTAGTACGCATGCTTAATAGTATTCATTCCAAATATTATCGTATTATCGTATGCACTGTGCATCCTCAGTTAAGCCAGTTGGACCCCACAAGCAGTTAGCCGATATTTTATAAATTTACTGTTAGTGATATTCTTTCGTAGTTAATTCCATAAGGATGACTGTTATTCCCGCTAGAGGAAACCACGAAAACTCGTGTTAAGTCTTACTTTTAGAACAGATCAATAATTTACGCACACTATAATTATTACTATTATTATTATTATTATTATTATGACTATTAGTTTAATTAAATCCATTTTTCAGCTAAAGCTGAATTACATGGAAACAATATTTACATAATTTAAATATTAAAATTTACGTTAACAATGTTATATAGTATGATAATATGTATTCTATCCTAAGTTAGGGTAAATTATGATAATATACTCAACTATTAAACCACCTATTATAAAAATGTATTCATAAAAATTTAACTATATTTAATGGTAAAAAATTTCTTTAACCGTTCAGGCATTATCGGTAAGAGTTGCAGGTTATTATTACGCAGATCATAATTATGAGTTGGGTCTGGTAGACCAGATTTAACTATTGCAGTTAAAGGGTTGTGTGGCGAATCTTGGTCTCGAAATGAGTTAATTAATTTCTTACATGCTTCTTCTCTTCTTGTACTCAGTTGTTTATGCTTCATCATAAGATAGAGTGGGATACGCGATTTTTAAAGCCCCAGACTCAATAAGGTCTGATAATGTTTTGGGGATAGTCTATATGGCGCGGGTCGCGAGTCAATAGAAATGGCGCGGGTCCAGCGAAAATGGCGCGGGTCCAGTCAAAATGGCGCGGGTCCAGTCAAAATGGCGCGGGTCCAACGAAAATGGCGCGGGTAACAAGTTACGAGGCGCGAGTAAAAAGTTCCGAGGCGCGGGTAACAAGTTCCGAGATCAATTACCCGGTACTTATAATAATAATAATAGTTTTATTGTTATCCATCTTTAGTGTAAAAATACAATGGATTTACAGTAAAAATCTAAGTAGTAGTCTAGTAGTTATATATACAGATAAAATTTGTAGGAATAGTTATAAAAATATTGTCTATAATAATGAGTTTGTTCTGGGAATGAACGATAGTTCATGCCTTTTAGTGTATGAGAAAATTCCGGGAAGAGTTTTTGGTGTTCTTAGATCATACTTGTTCGTCACCATGTCTGGTATGTACTTCCTGCATGGGTGTGTTTCGTCATTAATGATTTTCTCGTACTCGCGAATGGAAAGTTTATCCCGACGTTGTTCTAGGGATTGAAGAGAATCAGAAGGTAGATCCATAATTTTCAGGCTTCTAGTCTGGATACTCTCCAGTTCGTCAGTAAGGTATTGTGGCAGGCCACCCCAAATTGGGGCCTCATATTCCAAAACCGGTCTTAATTTGGATTCATAGCACGTCAAACCCACATTAGTTGGTAGATCTGCTCGACGACACTCCCGTAGGTAGAATAAGCGTTTGTTTGCCCTTCTTGCAATTTCGTCAATGTGGGTGTTCCATTTAAGGGTATTGTCAATCCAAAGACCTAGCAACTTGAATGACTTTACTCTTTCAATTGTATCATCGCCAATTTTAAGATGTGGTGGTTCCGGAATTGCAGCTTTAAAGCAGATCCACTTGTCTTTCGTCTTTTTCGCGTTAAGTTTCATCTTGTTTCTATGTGCCAAGTCGTTTATTGCATCGAGCACCTCTTGCATGTTGCTAGTAGAACCGTATGGAATCACTTCATCTTGAGTGCAGTCATCTGCGTATTTGTGCGTATTGATGTCCAGATAATTGGGAATGCAGTCTTCGAGGTCATCCACATGAACATTAAACAATGTTGGTGATATAACAGATCCCTGGGGGAGTCCGGAAGGGCAAGGCCTTATAGATGACAGAGCACCTTGTAATTTTACTTGCCGACTCCTCCCTTCTAGAAAGCTCCGTGTTCATAGCCAGAAGCTTTTCGACACGTTCATTTTGGCGAGCTTCCTTAAAAGCAATCCGTGGTCCACCAGATCAAAAGCTTTCCAAAAGTCAATAAATAGGGCGTGGATACCCATTCTTCCATCACGTGAGTTTTCAGTCTTGTTGAACCAATTTTGGGTGATGCTCGCCAGTGCAGATACAGTTGATCTACCGTGTGTAAATGCATGTTGATTGTCCTTGATCTTAAGGTCCCCTTTGTTTAATTTTATTAACTTATATTCAAGATAGCGGCTATTATAAACTTAAAATTGACAGACATCAATTAACATAAGTAAATCACGTTTGGAGGTGTTATACTCAGCATATTTTTAAACACAAAGAGAGTGGACAGTTGGAAATGGAATATTTGGAAGGAGTCACTGTCAGTATAATATATTTTTATTATTATACTAATGCACCTATCAATGTTAACCCCGAGGGTGGGGGGGGGGGGTCTGGCAAGGGATGGGGATTTGACATTTTTACAGAAAAAAATGTCAAATGCCACTCGTTCGGGACAAAATTCCTGGGCAAAATTCCCCACCCCCGGTATGAAATTGTATTCCTGAAGGATTTGGTTTCTGGTCGTCAGGTGATATGGAAATGACATGAATTCATTCGGTGGTATAATTTTAAAGTATAACAAATAGAATGAACGTTTCAAAATAACTTAAAATACTCATTTATGATTCATAAACCTTGTGGCAAATAATATTACGTCACGTGGAGCGACTTTATATCTGATAAAACACATGTATGCATGTGGCATCATATAATCGTTCATCCAAATTAGTATTCTTACACGTTGTTTTTACAAGAAATATGGAGATTTCTGGACATTATGTACTATTTAAAACACAAGTAGGAGTGTTTTATCAGACATAAAACACTCGGCTGCGCCTCGCGTTTTATATCTGATAAAACAGTCCTACTCGTGTTTTAAATAGTACATAATGTCCAGAAATCTCCATATTTCTTGTAAAAACAACGTGCGAGACGGCGAGCGACGCAACCTCGTTCCCAGGCTCTTTCCTCTACGCTTCTAGGAGCGCAGAGGAAAGAGCCTGGGAACGAGGTTGCGAGTGATCAACTAGTGCCCAGTCTTCAGTTTGTTCAAAAATTGGCTCGGATTTCTTCAGTATATCGTCTGAGATCAGTGTTAATCTGTCAAATATCCCACCCTCGGGCCACTCAGAAAAAAAGTGTCAGTCCAAATCCCGACCCACGGGACAAACTGATTGATCAAATCCCCACGCTTGGCCCGCCCCCCCCCCACCTCGGGGTTAACATTGATAGGTACATGATACTAGGGCGCTTTCCATTCAATGACCTGACCGGTCAGACCCGAATTTTTGTATCAATGGAAAGATCTAGTCTATGTTTCTCAAATATCTAGCGAAAATGAACCTCATTCTAATTTTATCTAAATTTTCCGGTCAAATAGGTCCGAAGCCCAAACGTTTTGTGTTCCATTGAACAATTTGACCGTTCTGACCGGTCTGGCCGTGTTAATGGAAAGCACCCTTAGTCTGTTAATAATTAAGGTAAAAAGATAATTTGTCTAAATTCTCTATATAATTTTGGTTAGAAACGCCCACAATATTCTTAGCATTTTTACGGCTTCAGTCATTTATATTTCACCCATATATGTCCTGCTTTGTTATGAGACCTTTATGACGTCATTATTACTTGCCCACACTGTGAGCACGTCTTCGAATACAGATGTGTCCTCCACTTCAGTGCAAGCTTCATCATTATTAGTTTTCCTCCTCACTGCCTATTTAGGGGCTGTTTACAAGATCCCACTTTGGCGGGACAAGATGTGAGGCGGAATAATTTTGATGTATTGAAATAAGTCGCGGTGCACGATTCAGTTATAAAAACACACGACGTAGAGTAGTTTTGGAGAACGAGAAATAATCAGTGGAGAAACGAGCCCGTAGCTGCATGTATAGGCGAGTTTCGAGTTCTTTCAAAATAGAAACTTCTGCCAAAACTATTGAGGAACTTACTGAAAATCTAAATAATGACCTGAAAAAAGTCGGTGAGTGGCTTGCTCGAAATAAACTGCAACACCACCCAACTAAGACCAAATTAATGTATATCGGTTCAAAGTATAATACTGATACTATGACTTATGATATTCCAGTAATGATGAATAACCAATTCATAACTCTTGCTCATTCATATACATGCCTTGATGAAAACTTGATGAAAACCTTAATTGGCATGAGCATGTTGAAATCATTTGTAAGAAAGTTGGGGCCGGCATAGGAGCAATGCAACGAATTAAGCCATATGTTCCTATAAATACCCTGCATACCATTTACAGAGCTTTGATAGAACCGTATTTTGATTATTGTAGTCCATTATGGGACGTCTGTAACCAACAGCTGAAAGATAAGCTTCAAAAGTTCCAAAACCGTGCAGCGAGAATTATAACCTGCGCCAGCTATGAAATAAGGTCTGCTGATGTTCTTCGATCCCTTGCTTGGGAAAATTTAGAGATAAGACAACGTACAACTAAATCCACATTAATGTATAAAGTCCTGAATTATTGCGCTGGGCCGAACTTGAAGGATGCTCTAACGAGAAGGGACCTTGTTCAAACCAGTTATAATCTTCGCAATACTTATACCGACCTTACCCTTGCTAAGCCAAAACGAGAATTTCTAAAAAAAAGCTTTAAGTATAGCGGAGCTAAATTGTAGAATAGTCTTCCTTTTGATGCGAAGCTAGCGCAATCAATTTATTCTTTTAAAAACTGCCTGAAAGTTTCACGCTAACATCTTCTAATATACTGTATATGCATGCTTTAGAAATATGGGTCACACCGTTTGGCACTTAATTCTTGTATTGTAAATAGTTGTATATAATTCTTTATTCTTTTCTATATCATATTTGTAATTTTTAATAGTAACAGACGTCCCTCGTGAAAATCAACAAATCGTTGACGAGGCTAACGTCTTTAAATAAAGTTTACATACATACATACAACGTATATTTATAGTCATTACCTCATTATCAGAGCATAAAGTCCTTTCCAGGTTGCTTTTGGCTCGTCAATTTCACCACAAATAATCAAGTTCTCCTTTACTTACACTGACAATTCCAACGCGTGTTAATGTTGTTTTGATTTACGTTTTTGTTTACGGCGTTAAACTTTCGTGACTGTGCAAAGCCTAGTGCAAATTTGTTCGCGCGAAGCGATATATTTTTTCCTTTGTCGACATTGCTTCTGCTGACATGATATAAGCGATGTCAGCAGAAGCGCGAATTTCCAGAATGCAAAATTCACGCGAACAAATTCTCGCTCCTAGTGGAAAACGGACTTACTGAAACTGGCCGATGACGTGTCGTAACTGTCGTTTGTTGATATATCTTCTGGAATTTTCATACAGAATAGAAAACTCCAAAGCCAAGATATATTGTAACTATTTCACATCGGCTAACATGACTTGATTATACGACAGTAGCGAGTCGTGATGATCGCAAGCATATTAAGGTGTAGCCAAAACAGTGTTGGCATATCGTTATGTTTAGACATAAAATTTGAAAAGACCAATTTGCATACAGTACACTAAAACCATGATGATAAATAGAGACTATGTTACAACGCCGAACATGTCAACATGACTTGGTGTCTATAACCAGGTTTTAAACGGTTTGAAACTTACATAGACCGACCCAAGCATAACAGAGCCAGAGGAAGCACTTTGCTCAGACAACTTTTGGGTTAAAATTACGCCAGATATTCCGGTCTCGAAAGCGAGACACAGCACAATAGAGCCAGTTACCATCGACCCAACCGTAACACTTCTTGTCATCACCATCTTGACATCTGCTTAAGTTTTGTGCTGGTTTTGCGAAAACTTTTCGAAATGGCCAAGCGAGGTTGATATGACTTTGAAACTGCGTTCTTGGCGTCGCAATAATTATTTCAATTCCTAGGACATCTGTCAAACAGGTACTCCAATTGCAAGGAAACACCTGTTTCCCAAGTGGTAAACCACTTGTAGTGACAGTTTTAAATTTAGGAAGTCAGTTATACGTGAGGCAGGTGATCACTTGAGCAGCCGAGCTGCACGAAAGCTACAAATTACATACACACATACATACACCCAGTTGAAAACATAACCTGCCCACGAAAACGCTATTGAATCACCCTCAACGCTCCGAACGCTTCGAGACACATATAAAATAGCCTTTTAAAAACACAGGCGCTGATTAGTCGAAAGCTAAAAAAAGTGTTTCTATAACTCGATAGAAACACGGGAATTTTCGCACAGGTTGCTTGGGTTGCGTGAGAAAACATTTTCCCCTGTTCCTACATGGAGTCATAGGTCACGCGTGCTTGTGTTCTCACGCAATTTCTCGATCCGAATACATTTTTCACTGTTCCTATGCAGTCATAGAAACACTCGTGGAAACAAACGTGCTAGTGTTCCCACGCAATTTCTCGATCGGAAAATATTTTTTTCCCTGTTCCTATGGAGTCATAGAAACACTCGTGGAAACACGCGTGTTCGTGTTCCCACGCAATTTCTCGTTTCTTCCAAACTTCCACGTGTGTTTCTACTGTATAACTCAAATATAAAACATTTTCCGTGTTGATTTTCAGGTATATCAACACGAGTGGAAATTGTGAAAACGACAAATTGTGTGGAAATACGACGCCCGAAGGGCGGAGTGTTTTCACACAATTTCGAGCACAAAGAAACATAAAGAAACCGACGTTTCCGTGTTGACATTAGTGAGCTTAAGCAAGTGATGTTTTTGACAACACCAACGGCCTGAGTAACGTCAGAAGACTGGGTCCAGGGCTGTGATTGGTGAAAAACGTCAACTTTACTTCCGGTCGACGTCCGTGTTGTCAAAAACGTCACTTGCTTAAGCTCACTGTTGAGTTATATCAGCGTTCAGAATTTACAAATGCTATATTATAATTAACAAATATAAAACATTTTCCGTGTTGATACACAGTTATATCAACACGAGGGAAAATTGGGAAAACGAGAAATTGTCACACTATATTTCGAGTTTTCCCAATTTCCACGAGTGTTGATATAACTAATATAAATCAATACGGAGAAAATGCTTTTTAATTGTTTTATAATATAGCACAAAAAAATGTAAAGAAAGAAATTTTCAGACGTTTCCGTGTTGGCATTGAGTTATATCAACACGGATCTTAGCCAATCAGCGTTTAGAATTAACAAAATTAATGCTATATTATACATTTCTTTTTATGTCATTCGCCCTGAGTGCATATTATTACTGGCGTCACAGTGGCATTTATACGAATTTCGTCATAGTTGCGGCGGCAAACTGTTACGAGTTTGGTCATAATTAAGAATTATAATATAGCATTTGTAAATTCTGAACGCTGATTGGCTAAGAACCATGCTGATATAACTCAATGCCAACACGGAAACGTCTGGAAATTTCTTTCTTTATATTTTTTTGAGCTATATTATAAAACAAATATAAAACATTTTTTTCCGTATTGATTTATATTAGTTATATCAACACTCGTGGAAATTGGGAAAACTCGAAATTGTGTGACAATTTCTCGTTTTCCCAATTTCCACTCGTGTTGATAACTGTATATCAACACGGAAAATGTTTTATATTTGTTAAATTAATATCAAACACAATTTTTTTGACAGATAAATAAGTCTAGAAATATATCTTATTGAATGGTTTGACGTATAATTCGGCCGAGCAGTTTACGATATAGTATTATATTAAAAAATTCACATTGCAGCTTATAGAAGCTGAATTAAGTGCAAGACTACAATCCAAATGTACTAAGTACAGACGAAGGAATAAAATTGTTTATAAACTGTTTGTGTGCGCGGTATTAAGTTATAATGTGGCTCCTGTTTTGGTGGTAAAAGATGAGCCAACTTGTGATTAGGTTTGTCAGTCATTATATTTCTTAAAAGTCTTTTACACGCTTTCTCGCGTCTAGTAGTGCTTGTCAATACCACTGAGATTAGACCGCCGTCATAGTTTACGTAAGGGGTAAATAAGTAAGAGTTATAAACCGAGTAGGAGGTTTATAACTGATATATTGACCCGAGGACGTGTAGCGTCCGAGGGGCAATATATCAGTTATAAACCGACTTACTCGGTTTATAACTAACTTATATCACACTTGCGGAAGTTTTCCAACATATTTTGTCATTTTCAAAAATTTTTAATGAAAAATTCTCGCGTTTTGTCTACAAGTTTAATCTAATCATTTATTCAAGGTCTATAAGCTAGTTATAAACCTCGGACGAACAAAGAAAACAGACGCAAGTGTGATATAAGAGACATAACTCGCTTTTGAACACGTTCGATAGCTTTTAAAAGAGCCTTTGATACACACAAGTTAGCAGTTTAAAAATAAGTACTATATATATGCAGCTATTTTCCCAGTTAAGATATTATCAATAGCTTTTGACCGGTCAAAATTACGTTCTTATATTTTCATTACTAGGCTAAAATGTGCGGTATAGTACACCAAACCATATAACACCAACAAGCCAGAAGAAAGCTAGTCCAAGGCTATAGCACTCCAGAGCCAGCTGAGAAAAAATAAAACTAGCTGTCAAACGAGCTACAACCACTGCCAAGTGCATAATCGCTAGAGATGAGCCTTGAAAGAAGGCCGAATTCCGATGGTGTGTAATTTTTGACAAGAGAGAACATCCAGAAGGGAACGCAAAATACGGCATACCAAGACAGATATACAACAATAAAATATAGTAATGGGTGTCTATGTCATCATGCCAAGTGAAGACGAATAAAGCGAGGAGTGATATAGCACTGATCTGCATTATCATGGAAAACACGAAAACCTTTCGTTCTTTAAAGAAATCCGAAGTAACATACATTCCAATCAATATAACCAGCATAGTCAGAGAACCGTTTAGGAAATATAACTTTATATGAATAACTTTTAGATGAAGAATATCCATTCCTAGTAGAGGGGTGTAGAATGTCGAAGTATTTGAGAACATCGCGTTCCAAAACATAAGATAAAACAGGCATAACACTCTGGAGTTCCAATCATCACTCGGCTTGTGATCGGACAATCTTCGCTCTCTTTCGGTCAACTTTCGGTCTTCTTCAGTCGAAATCCGATGTTCTTCGCTCAACTTCCGGTCTTCTTTGGTAAATCTCTGATCTTCTTCGGTATCAGTCGTGATTTCAACTTCCTTTTTCTTCTTATTCGATTTTTCTCCAAATTCCTTCGGTAACCAAAACAATCCAATGAAGGACAAACACCAAATCACTGTCAATACAATACCAGGCGAATTTCCCGCGTCTATTTTCCAGCCAAGTATTGTCGTATTAAAGGTAACAAAACTACCGATTGCTGGACCGCAAGCAGCACCAAGCACAAACACGCCTTCCAAAACAGCAAATACACCCGCGCGATCCTTTGCAGTTGTGTAAAGCGCAACTTGTGCCATAAAAATTCCAAACGAACTCTCAGCAATGCCGCTAATGGTTCTGCCAAATAGAGGAAAATATGCGGATGTATTGACACTGTATAAAAGGTTACCTAAGACTTTTGCAACGTAGGTTAGCATAATTAAAAACTTGACATGCCCAAAGCGATCAGCAATACATCCCACAATTGGCGATGCGATAAGAGCCGATAAGTTGAATGAACTTAAGACAATTGCAAGGAACCATTTTGTCTTTCCTAATGACTCAATATAGTACCACGCTGTTGGAGCGATAAAGTTGTTCTCACAACCATCAGTGAAGTTACGAAATGCAATGAAAATAAGGACCCATAATTTTCGTGTTCCTTTCCAAGCCATAACCTGCAGGAAATAAAAATATAGCAGAAAATGAAAATATAGCAGAAAATGAAAATATAGTAGTATATAAGTATCATTGTCACACAGGTAGGGTGTACACCAAGTGTGATTGGCTGATTTGTGGTCACGTGGCTTTAGATAAATGCATTGTTTCCCGCCAGGCAACAAGTGAAAAATTGTTGCCCGCCCCGACTGGCCACGAACATAAAAGAACAAAATGATGGTATTTCAAGATTTCCCACGTTTGTGTTAAAATAAAGACTGTAGAAGAGAAGAAAAATGCACAACAGGCAATAGGATATGCTGCTGAAACCGTTTAAATAGGTTCTTTTTATTGTAAACTCATTTACAACATAGAGTTTTTGTACAGGAAATTACACTGTTCGAGAAGTATTAATGGAAAATTGTACGCGTGTTTGGCGAAACACAACACGCACGAGCGATATATTATAAATATTTCGCCAAACACAAGTGTGATTTTTCATTAACTCCTCGAGAAAAATTGTAGTTTCCTATTAATATCATTTTGTAAACAATTTTACACGAGCAATCGAGCAATGAATGATAAAAATATTATATAATGTAGTCAAGCGGCACAGTCATACGTGCCTTTGTCATGATTTTGAGAGTAATTTCTGACATTAATTTTCGATTCATATACCTGTGAAAAACTGTAAATCATCTTTATTTCTTCTTCATCTTTAATATTTAAACATAATTAAAGGAGATCATTGCAAAATAAGAGCTTGGAAAATATAAATTTTCAAGTTGTTTATTTAATAGATTTTGAGATTTTGTGTTTAATGCATGGGGGCTTGTATTCGTGCCGATTAATCTTTAATCGGCACACTGTGCCGATTACTGGCGATTAGTGTTTAATTGGCACTGTTTTTAACCAATTGGAATCGAGGAAATACAATTGTTGTATGAATGTTGTATAACAAAACACTTAATGTCTGTTCCCTCGGGAAATAATTAGTTCTGTTTTCTCTTGAATCTCAACATCAATGTTTCCCTCGACATTGATATTCTCAGGAAAATAAAACTAATTATTCCCCACGGGAGCAGACATTAAGTGTATATCTATGGGGCCTGCGGCGAGAGGGAGGATTGGCGAACTTTTACCCTTTTAGTGTGTTGGAACTACATTTAAAAATATAACAGCATACTAGAAATACATGCATGCAACAACCCTTCGCATATAATTTCCAAACATTGTTTCAATATGAAATATTCGTAATTACGCCAACACTGAACGCAGGCTTGCGTTGCACGTCATGTTAAGCTACGTTTACACGCTGCAATTAATCATGTACGATTCGTTTTCTGGCGTATGTCATTGAGTAAACACGCGTAAGCTGGCTACATTTGAAATTTCTTTTTAACGAAACGGCAATGAATTATGGCGCCAACACTCGTTTTAATTTAATATGTCAGAATGCGAATCGTACACGATTAATCGTAGCATGTAAACGTAGCTTTAAGCCCGTTCTCCACTACGCGAATTTGTTCGCGCGACGCGAAGCGAAAACCGAAATCCGGCAACGTGATTGGTCGGCGAAAAAATTCGCGGCGAAAAAGTAGGATCGCTTCCTACTTTTTATCTGTTCGCGCGAATAAATTCGCCTAGTGGAGAACGGGCTTTAGTCAAGGCAACACGATAATGATTTTTTTTTAATTTCTGTACAAACCTGCAAAAAATTGATGAAATTTGAACACTTTAATTTAAATTCTATTATTTTGGTTTCTATGGGCTTTATTTTAATGTAAATTCAAAACGAAACTCTACGTAAAACGTTTTTAAATGTGAATTTAAATTATTATAAACTACCTTTTGCCGATATTTATAAACTCCTCAACTCGAGCTTCAACTTATTACTCGCACTTTGAATGAAATGAAATAAATTTAATTCGTACAGGACGCTAATAAAAATAATTTGCTTTCCGTTTTATCATGAACTTCTACAAAGGTTAATTTAACTAAGAAACTTTCGCGAACAATGCATAGGAAAGACTTGAACATAAATAACAAAGTCTATATTAATACAAAGTCATACATAAACAATTGAAACAAGCTTGCCCTATACTTTAGGATTTCTCATACCATATCAATTTTTATAAATGATGTTTATGTTTAAAAATTGCAAAAAGGTTTTACAATTTGTTATGTGAAACGATTTCCAAGCTTTCTTACATGTATTTTTTATATTTTTTGCCTTCTTCACTCCTGCCAAACAGCCGTATTTTGAGATCAGTGAGATGACCACCAACTGAAACACGCACAGTGACCCACGCCTGCGATCATTGATGAACTTTAGATTTCGCTAATGCTTTCGTTTCCCCGGGTGTAAATAGTCCGGCGGAATTAGTACCCTCGCCCCGGGCTTACGCCCGGAACGGCGCTCCGTGCCGTTGGCTCGAGGACTAGAAATACATGCATCCAGCAACCCATCGCGCCTATATCTTTTCCTATACTGTATATTTTTTACATAACCAACATATGTCTCAATCTGTGCCATTATATAAATATTTGTACGTGTACAGTACAAATATTAAAACCGCCGAAGCATGCAATTGTAAACCACAGTAGAAAACAGATCATCAGTCATCTGCGACTAATACCTTTGCTTTGAACTTAATCCCAAGAACAGTTACTAATTCAACTCATTCAAGTGAATTTAAAAGAGGACCGCGCTTTTGTTTTAATTCATTATACCACTAGGCTGCCACAACAATAATCCACCTCGAGTACAATGTTATGATCTGCATCAACAAGTTGTTACGTTATTTAACCAAGCTATCCCCACACGTACACATTACCTATCGTATTCCATCTAAGGTTAGAGCAAATCGTCAACAGGGTTTTCGGCCGAGTTACGCACGCCAACAAGCAGACTGGCTACAGTACACCTAGATTTCATGCACCATATTCATCATTAAACTTTGTAATTCTTTACTTTTATGGCATAGACCTCCGGGCCATAATATGTCAAACTGTATAAACATTGATGTTCAACATGGGCGTCGGGCAATATTCGCTGAACAGTCGGGCAATTTTGGTTTATTATAAAAATAAATGGAACAAATTCTGTAGATTTTGTGGTCAATTTGGTGATGTTTCGAAAATGTTTGTTAGGTTCTGAAAAATTTTGGTATGTCCTGAAAAATTTTTTGACCCCTAAAGTGGTACACTGACCGAAATTTTTTTGGCAAAATCCGGAAAAGTCGGGCAAATTTCTTTCCGCCCCCCTAAATTTTTCCTTCCGGTACGCCCATGATGTTCAATGCAAGATCTTTTCGCAATAAGGTTGATGAACATTTAGTGCAACCAAGCCAAACAAATTCTGACAAAATATGTATAACAGAGACTTGGCAAAAGGTCTTGATAAAATTCCTGCTAAAATTCTAAAATTATCTGCAAACATAATTGCACCCTGGTTGACATTCATCTTCAATCTGTCGCTTGCAACAGGCGTATAATATACAGATGCACCGAAGCGTGCTCGTGTTACGCCAATATTTAAATCCGGGGATAGAAGACAATGTGAGAACTATCGGCCTATTTCAATTTTACCGGTGGCGAGTAAAGCCTTTGAGAAGGAAGTTTTCCGTCAGGTATATAGATACTTGTCTGAAAGCTCTCTTCTGTCAAAGTTTCAATGTGGATTTCGTCCAAAGCATTCAACTGTAACTGCCCTCATCCAAATGTGTGATGAGTGGCTAGAAAATATGGATAATGGAAAGTTAAATTGGGAAGTGTTCCTAGATATCAAAAAGGCATTTGACTTTATAAACCATCGCATTTTGTTCAATAAAATGAATGAGCAATTTGGAATTTTTGGCATGGAATTAAAATGGTTTGAGTAATATTTAACAAATAGAGAATAGCAATGCAATGTTAATGGGGAATTATCTAGTAATAAAATTATAACCTGTGGAATGCCGCAGGGACTATACTGGGACCACTCATATTCCTATTATATATTAATGATTTGCCCGATTGTTTGAAATCAACTAATCCATGCATGTACGCGCATTATACTCAAATCTTTTCATCTTCCTACGATGCAAATGAACTTGTTATAAGTTTAAATTCAGATCTTGTCCATGTCTGTAACTGGCTTTAATTAAAGAAAATAGGCTGCAGATGCATCCATCATAATGTAAAATGATGTTTATTGGCTCCCCGTATAATTTTAATAATATAATGTGTGAGGAAGCCGATGTGGCTAACGCAAAACCCACACTACGAACTGTCACACAAATGTGTTTAGGAGTAAAACTAGATGAGAACCTTAATTGGGATAGTCACATTGAAATAATATGCAAGAAGGCGAGTGCTGCTATTGGCGCTATGAAATACGTATAAAGCCCTTTGTTCCAATGCAAACCTTAGAATCTATTTACAATACTATTTCTTGTGCAGCCCTACTTTGATTATTTCTCCCCCTTTGGGACACTTGTGGTAAGTTGCTAAGAAACAAGTTGCAAAGATTTCAGTCTTGTGCAGGCGTGCAGCAAGTCCTAACGGGTGCTAATTATGATACTCGCTCAGCTGATCTTCCCAACATGCTTTCGTGGGACACACTTGAAAATAGACGGTCTGGTGCCAAGTCAGTATTAATGTATAAAATACTTAATGACCACACTGCGCTGGTTCTCCGGGGGTCCTTCGTGAGAAGAGAAATACAGGGTGTCCCAAAAAACCCGAAAACTATTGAAATCGCTTATTGTTAAAATTGAATGCCCTACCAAAAAGCTGAACGTAATGATGCGTAAAATATTGACAAGGTGTATGTATTAAAATTTAGTTAAGAACATCTCCTTGTAAAGTGCGCGATTTTCTGCTTTTGGGAATTTAAAGCAGCTTCTTGAATAGTTTCTTTATGCATAAAATTTACTTATGTCAATCATTTATGCACTCGTGGGAACCAACAGAGTGCTAAGGCATTCAAATTCTAACAATTAAATTGTTATTGGTGATTTCAATACTTTTCGGGTTT